TCTCCCAATTCGGCTTTAGGATACGCCTTGCACTCCATTATCATGGTAGTTTGAATGCGCGCCTGACCCAGCATTGTCCTAAGGGAACTAGTCTGCACCTTTTATCTTCCCGAGCGAATTTGTCTGATTTCCAAATTATCGGGAAACATGCTTAACTTGGGCTACTCACTTATTTACTGAAATATTCGCCAATTCTGAGGAATCAATCTCAAAATGCCTGATTCCTTTTCAGAAGGGGACTGAGCAGCTCTAGAACTCCAATTTTCTATATTTTTCACTAGAGTGACTTTCGAAGCGGAAATTCGTATAATTGACCTTAAATTCTATCCTTTCACCAGTGAGATGATGTCATTTCAAGTAGGTTCTGGTCAGAAAGTCGAATTATTCTTGAAATAATTACCAGTGAAGGGAAGGTTTGCAATCATAGTGCAGGAAACGTGGAATCGAACCAGTTGCAGCGTAACTAGTATAGCCACAAGTCACATATCTCCCTACGAAGTCGTTTAGAAGGGGATGGATGCATCAAACATTCAGCTGGATTGTTCCAGGAGACGCCGCTACTGCATTGAGTAGGTTGTACTTGTGGGTCATTACTGCCACGCCCACGTTATACATACATATCTCATTCATAGCAGATGTGCCATACGGGTTTATTACGTCTAAATCAATTCTAATACTGAGCTACTTCCAGTGAGTCGCTCTTTGTTACCATATGCTATTTACTTGATTGATTTTTGTAAATTGTGGTAGCTGCTTGTTGTTCCGTTCGACTCGCTTAGCAACCCGGAATTCTTTGAGCTTGCCGTACTCCCTACCACTAGCCGCCCAGGATACACTAACTATTTTGTTTTTCATTTATTGAATCAGCTGATCGATGCTCCACCCATGAGCATTCATTCACTAGAAGAAATCACTATAATCAAATTCCTCAAATCAAATATGAGTTACTAGTAAGTAGAAATAGAAGAGCAACTTCACCTAAATGGCCTCTAAGAGACCTCGAGAGAAGAGGATGGACAATAACATTATTTCAATGTCCTCCTAGGAACTTCATGGTATCTAAGACAACAGAAGAAATTGGGTCCTAACAATTTAGGCAATTGACAGTTTGATTTGACAGTTTGGGAGGGCAGCCGGGTGTTTTGGAATATTCGTTGGGGGGGGGGGGGNAATAAGTGTAAATTTTTCGCAGTATATGACTTTGTCTTTGTATGTCTTGTCGGTTATAAATCATTGTGATTTTTTAAATAGTATTTCTCAAAATTTAGTAAACATAATTACTGTATTTTATTTATTTATTTCAAAAGAAGATTTTTATTGAATTCACGTTATCACCATGAAGGGTGATCGAATATTGATTTTCGTGCGTTCTGCGTGTGCATAAAATGCACAACAGCACTTTCCGCTTGTATAGGTCCCCTGAATGCAAACAAACGATACATATGGAGTTGTAAAGCAGTTGTATATGTTGTTCATGGGAGTGTGAAAGTACTTTTTCTTCAAAGGCAACGCAAGCAATATTTCAGAAATATTTTGTATGGGCTCGTTTTACAACACCCTTGACTCAGTTTGTGGGGCGTTTTCAAGTCTGTAAACCCCTCACTTTGTTTATGACTGTCGTTTTGCTTTGTTGTGTATCCGTTGTACATATAATGGACCTAAAAGGCATCGGTCCCAACTACATGCTATAGAAATCGTTCCAATAAATGTATTTTATGGCCTAAGGGGGTGGGTTGCATAGTGGCAAGTGGGAGCATTATCACGCACGCATGGTCCGGGGTTCGTATCCCTGACTATTCTCACTCATTGTCAGGCCAACCAAGCCTTGCATCTCTCCGGGATCGGTTAGTCCGTACCAGACTCGTCTGGGTGGAACAAGCACTGACTTGTACAAAGGATGACCATCCCAAATCATTGTATAGGTTATGTAGTCATTTCAAATATGCTATTTCAATTCTGATTGGAAATCGGTTGCCGGGCGCATCCTGGGATAGGACCAATCAACCCCAAATTCTATACTTATATTTTATGGTAACGAATGATCAATCGTGATAGTTTAATCATTGCATAGCGAGCGCTCATAAGCGATTCAGAGCATAAAAAAAGGTTCTGCCGCAAAGTCCAAAAATATTTCCCGAGCGGATATGGTTGCTTTTTCGCCATCGAAACTTTTTTCGTTAATGCTGCTTTCAATTTCCGAATAGGAAATGGTTGCTAGGAGATCGGGCAGGGCAGCACGGTAGTTGATGTAATCGGGTAAAGTTTCATTCTCGCACATGCATAGTTGAAAGTTGATAGGTATGAGCTAAAGAACTACCTGAAGTAATGTCTCAGTTTGCAAAGTTCTCAATGTCACGCATATGACTAGCTGTGACTATATGATGTTATTCTCAAGTTACTCGTAGCGCACTAAAATCCTTTGTAAATTGTCTCGCCGTGCGGCGTGGCTTACTTGGTCGGATTGGTTAGTTGTCTCGCTGCGCGACATGCAGCGCGAAACTCCTGACACACCCTACTTAGCCTGTTTGTATAATAGCGTCGCGATTTGTAAGTAGCAGGTTCATGCCTTTACTAGAAGCGAATAACTCCGCAAAGTACCCATTTAACTCATTTCCTCTAATTTGTCGTTAATTCATTGAACTTTCTTCTACTTATCTTGAGTAGTGTCGTTGTTTCTGCTGAGTGGGGGTACATTTCAGGGTCAAGAATTTAATTTGAAAGCAATAAAGAAAAACTTAGGCCTTAAATAGAATCGCCTGTCACCACATTGATTACTTCATCAATTTCTTTTTCTTTTAGTCGACTATACAGCGCTATGGCGAAAGCTTTGTGTCGGTCAATTCTAAATGGCTTATTGTTCCTACATTGATGACAAACTCTCCATATTTCCATGCTCACGGCTTCTTCCACTTTATCCTTAACCCCTACACCATTCCTCTTCAAGGGAAGAGGGCCTAGGGCCTAGTTGGGAGGTTTTTTCTAAGCTCAATCGATTCACGTCCTTATTGCAGCCCAATTAGCTTCAAAGAGACCGATCTTTGAGATGCAACGTGTAGAGCGTGCTTCATTTCGTTGGCAATCCACGATAACAAATCGGAGCAAAGCCTGAACATCCGGCAAACTTCCTCGTCGTCGTTGTCGTCTTCTGAATTTTCGCTATGTTGGTCTGGCTGAATCAAATTTTATTCGCCTGTTTCAATCCGTCTTACAAACAGCGATTTTATATTGAATTTCGGTCAACTCTTATTTGATTTTTAACGGATTAGTAGCAAAAAGTAATCGAACAACGAAATGCCTTTGTCAGGGGCCAGACTCCACCGTTGGGTCCCCATAAAAGTGGACAAAGGAGCTATGGGGCCAACAATTAAGGCTAATAACTCTTCTCGTTGGTGAAAGGGGGATCAAACAGATTTTGAGTACGATACAATCCGACTCAAGTGACCAATTTGGGAGAAAATGCTACAATTGTTCAGCAAATTTGTTTTTTTCTAAAATATACCTTTTTGGAAATGGAGGGGTAACTTGTTATTGAACCAAGCCTACGTCTGTCCCTTTAGAAAGATATGTATTGATTGGAGGCTCTACGGCAGCCGAATGGTTCTATCGTTCCTTGTGCCTACGATTGTGACGATATACTTTTTGCAGATTTTAATTTGCTGTCAGGCTTTATCTTTTGCCGTTTGAAACTTGAAACTTACTGGTAGTTTTTGCTTCATCTTTCGAGAGTCTAGGGGCGGTTCTGTGTAAGGCGGGGCAAAAGGCTACTCATGCATGGCATATCTTTCCGTCAACACCTATTAAGCACACATAGATGGAGCCGGAATACGCTCATGGAACCAACAAGTATTACATTTTAGGTAATTGTGTTTTTGCATCGAGGTGTTAGAGCCATTAGAATAGGACACTCTGCCTTTTCCTCAGCAGTGATAGCAAACGTTGCACTAAGCGGCTCTCCAAAGCCTTTCAGATTCTTGTTAATTACATACGCATTGATCATTTCGGCTGCGCGCGACCGGCCTGTTTGCCCGATAACAATCAATATCTATGCAGTACGTGTGGGTGATCACTAGCGCGCTATCTGAATTTTTGTTACCTCCTTAAATCTGTTCATCGCTAATTTTATATTTTTCAAAATATTCTCGGTTTTGTTCACTATTCTGTTCGCTGCTTACCAAATAAGGCAGTAATGTCTTCAGAGATCCTCCTGCTTTTGGGAGAGCCCAAGCCAACGTTGGTACTCATGAATAGCCAATTGTTAGAGGAGAATCCATCAACAGCTTTGACGTACTTCTTATAAGCTTGCAAACTGACATTGGCAGTATGGCAGTAAACAAATTGGCTCCTCAATCAAGACTGTCCCATCACAGCCGAGCGATTGACTTTTTTCTGTTCAAACAGATTTGGTGAAAAAATGTCAAGCAACTGCATTCCGATTACTGCCTTGTTAAGTAAGAGAGAAACCTATAAGCTGTGTATTTTCGTCACTCGTGCTCTTTTTCCTTGGTGCCTACTTTTGGGACCAAAATCTTTCCTTTTCTCCGCGGTGTAACCAGATATTGAGGTCTTCCGCCGGTTTTGACGTTCATATTTTTATCCTTTCGGTCCTATGCTACTGTCTTCGAAGTGACTATAACTAGTTGCCCTTTAACCTGTACTTTCAGATCAACAACGTTCAAATTTCGGTTCCCTGGTCAGTGTACGTCCACTTGACTGTTCTATGCCCAGTGCGTCAACGCAGCGTGATAGTAATAGCCAAGGGTTCAATCCATCACATGCTGAGTATACGTGTTGCTTCCAGCAACTTCATGCTAATGTAAGTTCATGCTCTCTAAAACTCCATTGTCGCCATTCAGGGTGAAGCTCCTATCGACGGTCGTTCTCACCCCGATGGGTGTAGGAAGGGTCGTCTTTGTTCTGTGTCATTTGTCATCTCCCTTCCCTTTTGGTTGTCATTAGTCATCACAAATTGCGGAAAAGTCGAATAAACGGGCAAAAGGGTGGAAAAGGGGGCCGGTCGAGGGGTCTGAGAGTATAGTGTTGAGAGCCCCATTTGGGAAGGGAGGAGGTTTAATTTGTTTTGCTGTAGTAACGGCTGTAATTTATTCATTCAAATGCACCCAAGGGTGTGCCACATAATTACTAAGTAGCCAATTGCCCTATTTAACTAGTAAGACAAACACTCAGGAAAAAATAGGGAAAGAAATTTTATTCTAGAAATGGCACCTGACAAAATAGAATTATTCAAAAAAGGAAACATTTGGAGAAATAAGTATGTGGGCCGGATGAGGGGGTGAAAGCATAACGAGAACTTTCTTGCGTATACAGGAGAGCTGCTCTCCTGACAGGAGGATAAGGCCTTCTGCCTGAGATCCTGGTCTCTGCTCCAGAACTCTGTTTGCAGTACAATTATTATCAGAAAGGTGTTCAGTCACGCTGGAGTGGTGATACATAATACGACTATATAATACTTGATAACGTGTTTTGTGTAACCCGATAACTTACGATACCTCTACCGGCAAGGTGCCAAAGGAGGCTGTAGAGTCCTCCTAATGGATGTAGTGCGGTGCTCCAAAGTCTAGGTTCTGTTCGAGCTCCATCCGACCCTTCACAC